CCCCCACACTCTCTCTTTCTCTAAAAATAAATAAATAAATCTTGAAAACAATAAAATAAAGTAGCTTTCTAGAGCAGAAACTTTAAATGAACAATCCAAGAAAAATTTTTAAATAGTAAAGTTAAAGACACCATGAGTTTAATTCATATGTTAACTTAAAGACTTCTCCTGTCCCAGAAATACCTTCTTTTCCCACGACCCTACTTTGCTAGTTTCCTAATTTGACACTACCTTAGTCTTCCCTCTATTGATATAGACTATCAAAAGGGCCACTGTCTGCAGAAGACCAGCATGATGAGTAATAGGAAATATTAGAGAAGAAAGAGGTAACTACAAGCAGAAGAGAAAAAGTTCTCTAGGTTTTTTTCATAAGCAATGTGGAGTTGATTCATTTGTCTGCAAGAGAGACCGACCTTGAGGAATGAGGGAAAGCTCCAGTAGTAGTCAGTGATGGGAAGAAGGCAGCACAGGATGACAGGACCCAAGGAACCAAGGGGGCAGCTTACATGGGTGGGCACCCCTGGAAGACTGTGCATCCAGGCAGTGTCATGAAGACAAGTGAGAAGAGAGAGACCCAGCCAGGTTGGCAGAGGGCACCTAGCACATCACAACCATCACCTAAATGATTCAGGTCTGAGTGGTGGCAGAGAGAGTCCAGGCCGGGAGTCAGGAGGCCTGAGCTCCAGACACAGCTATTACTGCAAATCTCTGTGAATTTGGGCCCATTGTTTTACCTCTCTGTGTCTCATTTTATCTACCTATGAAATGAAAAAAGAGAAAAAAGAAAAAAGGAGATGAGGAAAATACTCAGATCTTTGTAAGAGCTAAGATCTTGTGGGGTACCTCGGTGGCTCAGTCAGTTAAGCGTCTGCCTTCAGCTCAGGTTAGGATCCCAGGGTCCTGGGATCGAGTCCCATGTCAGGCTCCCTGCGGAGCAGAGAGTCTGCTTCTCCCTCTGCCCGTCCTCCCTCTGCCCCTCCTCCCACTAGCTCTCGCAAAATCTCTCTCTGTCTCTCTCAAATAAATAAAATCTTAAAAAATAATAATGATCATAATAATAAATACATTTCTTATAAAAAATAGTGAGAACCCTCTTGCGCTGTTGGTGGGAATGCAAACTGGTACAGCCACTGTGGAAAACAGTATGGAGATTCCTCAGAAAATTAAAAAGAGGACGACCCTATAAGCCAGTAATTACCCTACTGGGCATTTACCCAAAGGAGACAAAAACAGTAATTCAAAGGGATATATGCACCCCTATGTTTATTGTAGTATTATTTACAACAGCCAAGATATGGAAGCAGCCCATGTGTCCACTGACTGATGAATGGATAAAGAAGATATGGCATATATATATATATATATACACACACAATGGAATGTTATTCTGCCATTTGCAACAACATGGATGGAGCTAGAGAGTATAATGCTAAGCAAAGTAAGTCAGTCAGAGAAAAACAAACACCATAAGTTTCACTCATATGTGGAATTTAAGAAACAAAAGAAACGAACAAAGGGGAAAAGGAGAGAAAGGATGGAAGGGACAAACCAAGAAACAGACTTAACTATAGAGAACACACTGATGGTCACCAGAGGAGAGGTGGGCGGGAGGGGGGCAGTGATGGGGATTAAGGAGTGCACCTGTCGTGATGAGCACTGGGTGATTAAAATTTAAAAAAAAATTTTATTTTTAAATAGTGAGCCCTGGGTCAAAAGGAAGTTAATTTAAAAGAAAAGAAAAGAACCACTCCAGTTTGACTTGTGGGCCAGACAACAGAATTGGACTTTACAAAGAGCTGAGGATAACCTAGTCAGGACAGGAAGCTCTTTGGCCTGGACCTTGATCTGCAGCTGCAGGATGAGCAAGTCCGGGGACTGAGGCAGAAGCCAGTCTCCCTCACCTCCTCGCCAGAGTTTCCAAGGCTTCCAGGGTTTTCTCCAGCCTCCTCCGAAGAAATGTTCCAAATACACCCCAGCCACACTGCACATGGCCCAGCAGCTTGGGAAAAGGCCTCTGCCGGCCACAAACCAGGTCATTGCCATGACAGTCCCAGGGCATCACCACAGAGCCCACAGGGGTGGAAGTGGTTTGGCCAAATGAAAAATGCAGTCAACAGGCAATAGAGAGAACTGTGCTCAAGGCCAGGACTTGTACGACTTTGAATATGTTACTGGCTTGGGGTAGAAAAATCTTCATTTCTTCTCCACTAAAGATTTATGACTAAATATAAGCACTCCCCTCTCCAAGGCTGCCTTAGATCTCTTGGTGAATCATGGTTCTCTGCACTATTATTCCAAAAACGTGTGTGTGGCGCCTACTGCGTGTCCAGCATGATTTAAGTTGCTGAATGGGTTTTTTTTTTATTATGTTATGTTAATCACCATACATGACATCATTAGTTTTTGATGTAGTGTTCCATGATTCATTGTTTGTGCATAACACCCAGTGCTCCATGCAGAATGTGCCCTCTTTAATACCCATCACCAGGCTAACCCATTCCCCCACGCCCCTCCCCTCTAGAACCCTCAGTTTGTTTCCCAGAGTCCATCGTCTCTCATGGTTCATCTCCCCTTCTGATTCTACCACCTTGATTTTCCCCTTCCTTCTCCTAATGTCCTCCATGCTCTTCCTTATGGTCCACAAATAAGTGTGAATCATATGTGAAACCATATGATTAATTGACTTTCTCTGCTTGACTTATTTCACTTAGCGTAATCTCCTCCAGTCCCATCCATGTTGATGTAAAAGTTGGGTATTTATCCTTTCTGATGCCTGAGTAATATTCCATTGTATATATGGACCACATCTTCTTTATCCATTCGTCTGTTGAAGGGCATCTCGGCTCCTTCCAGTTTGGCTATTGTGCACATTGCTGCTATGAACATTGGGGTGCATATGGCCCTTCTTTTCACTACATCTGTGTCTTTGGGGTAAATACCCAGTAGTGCAATTGCTGGATCATAGGGTAGTTCTATTTTTAACGTTTTAAGGAACCTCCACACTGTTTTCCAAAGTGGCTGTATCAACTTGCATTCCCACCAACAGTATAAAAGGGGGGGGTGCGTGGGTGGCTCAGTCATTAAGCGCCATGACCTTCGGCTCAGGTCATGGTCCCAGGGTCCCGGGATCGAGCCCCACATCGGGCTCCCTACTCAATGGGAAGCCTGCTTCTCCCTCTGCTTGTGTTCACTCTCTCGCTGTGTTTCTCTCTGTCAAATAAATAAATAAGATCTTTAAAAAAAAAAAGTGTAAAAGGGTTCCCCTTCACAACCTCTCCAACATTTGTTGTTTATTGCCTTGTCAATTTTTGCCATTCTAACTGGTGTAAGGTGGTACATCTCAATTTAGTTTTGATTTGAATTTCCCTGATGGCTAATGATGTTGAACAATTTTTCATGTGTCTGTTAGCCATTTGTATGTCTTCTTTCGAGAAGTGTCTGTTCATGTCTTCTGCCCATTTTTTCACTGGATTATTTGTTTTTTGGGTGTTGAGTTTGAGAAGTTCTTTATAGATCTTGGATACCAGCCCTTTATCTGTAGTGTCATTTGTCTTATCTCATTCCGTGGGTTGCCTCGTTGTTTTGTTGACTGTTTCCTTTGCTGTGCAAAAGCGTTTTATCTTTATAAAGTCCCAAAAGTTCATTTTCACTTTTGTTTTGCTTGCCTTTGGAGACGTGTCTTGTAAGAAGTTGCTGTGGCCGATGTTGGAGAGGTTATTGCCTATGTTCTCCTCTAGGATTTTGATGGATTCCTGTCTCACATTGAGGTCTTTCATTTATTTAGAGTTTATCTTTGTGCATGGTGTAAAAGAATGGTTGAGTTTCATTCTTCTGTATATAGCTGTCCAATTTTCCCAGCACCGTTTATTGAAGAGACTGTCTTTTTCCCTTTTTTTTTAAAGATTTTATTTATTTATTTGAGAGAGAGAGAGAGCACATGATAGGGGGGAGAGTCAGAGGGAGAAGCAGACTCCCTGCTGAGCAGGGAGCCTGATGCGGAACTCGATCCCGGGACTCCAGGATCATGACCTGAGCCAAAGGCAGTTGCTTAACCAACTGAGCCACCCAGGCACCCAAGACTGTCTTTTTTCCATTGGATATTTTTTCCTGCTTTGTCGAAGATTAGTTACCATAGAGTTGAGGGTCCATATCTCAGCTCTCTACTCTGTCCCACTGATCCATGTGTCTGTTTTTGTGCCAGTACCATGTTGTCTTGGTGATCACAGCTTTGTAATAGAGCTTGAAATCAGGCAACATGATGCCCCCCGCTTTGTGTTTCTTTTTCAACATTTCCTTGGCGATTCGGGGTCTTTTCTGGTTCCATACAAATTTTAGGATTGTTTGTTCCAGCACTTTGAAAAATGCCATTGGTATTTTGATCGGGATGGTGTTGAAAGTATAGATTGCTCTGGGCAGCACAGACATTTTAACAATGTTTATTCTTCCAATCTATGAGCATGGAAAGTTTTTCCATCTTTTTTGTGTCTTCTTCAATTTCTTTCATAAGTGTCCTGTAGTTTCTAGAGTATAGATCCTTTACCTCTTTGGTTAGGTTTATTCCAAGGTATCTTATGGTTTTTGGTGCTGTTGTAAATGGAATCGATTCCCTAATTTTGCTTTCTACAGTTACATCATTAGTGTATAGGAAAGCAACTGATTTCTGTGCATTGATTTTGTATCCTGCCACATTACTGAATTGCTGTATGAGTTCTAGTAATTTGGGGGTGGAGTCTTTTGGGTTTTCCACATTAAGTATCAGGTCATCTGTGGAGAGAGAGTTTCACTTCCTCATTGCCAATTGAATACCTTTTATTTCTTTTTGTTGTCTGATTGCTGTTGCAGGACTCAACATTCCTCAATTTCTATGAAAAGCCCACAGCGAATATCATTCTCAATGGGGAAAAGCTGAAAGCCTTTCCCTTAAGAACAGGAACAAGACAAGGATGCCGACTCTCGACACTATTTTTTCCTAATTCTTGACAGAGTGTCCAACAGAGAAAATGGGAGAGGCAAACCTACTCAATCAAAGCACTTCTGTGACATACATTCGGCTTGGAGGCTTATCTGTAAATCAGAAGGTTTTACAGATAACACAGAAGGCTGTGTTTGCCATGTTCCTCACTTTCTATGTCCTGACACTGATTGGGAACATTCTCATTGTCATAACAATTATCTGTGACCACTGGCTCCATACCCCAATGTATTTCTTCCTCAGTAACCTGTCTTTTATTGATGTCTGTCACTCCACGGTCACTGTCCCCAAGATGCTGATAGATATGTGGTCCGAAGAGAAGCTCATCTCCTTTGAGGCCTGTGTCACCCAGACGTTTTTCCTGCACCTCTTTGCCTGCACCGAGATCTTTCTCCTCACCATCATGGCCTATGATCAGTTCATGGCCATTTGCAAACCCCTGCAGTACATGACGGTGATGAACTGGAAAGTATATGTGCTGCTGGCTGTGGCCCTCTGGATGGGGGGCACCGTCCACTCCGTATCACTGACCTCCCTCACCATCAAGCTGCCCTACTGTGGTCCTGATGAGATTGACCAGCTTCTTCTGTGATGTGCCTCAGGTGATCAAACTGGCCTTCACAGATACACACATCATTGAAATCCTCATCGTCTCCAACAGCGGGCTGACTCTGTGGTCTGTTTCGTGGTCCTCGTGGTGTCCTACGCAGTCATCCTGGTGAGCCTGAGGCAGCAGATCTCCGAAGGCAGGCAGAAGCCCTTATCCACCTGTGCAGCCCACCTCACTGTCGTCTCACTCTTCCTGGGACACTGCATCTTCATCTATTCCCGTCCATCCACCAGCCTCCTGGAGGACAAGGTGGTGTCTGTGTTTTTCACCACTGTTACCCCCCTCCTGAACCCCATCATCTATACTCTTAGGAATGAAGACATGAAGAATGCCTTGAACAAGTTCATGAGGAGGTTGGAGGGGAGAGGGAAAAAATGACAATGTCTAAGCTCTCAAGAGGCCTGGTGCTCCACACTGAAGAAACACCATGCAAAGAATAAGTCACCTAACATTTAGCAGGCTCTGTGACTTATAAAATTGTCTTCTGGTCCAATATCTGACAATCATAGCAGTAGGATCTTTTTAGGATCTTCCATATGCTGGAAATTGCTCTAGGCACGCTGCATTTACTCCATCCTCACAGCCACTTGTGAGGTAGGTATTATGCTTGTTTACAATGATGGAACTAAAGCTCAAAGAGAGCTCAAAGAGAGCCAATGGCATGCCCAGCTAGGAAATGCTGGAAGCAGGCTATTAAGCCAAGTATATCAACACAAACTCATGCTATTTTCATGACACCATGCCGCCTCTCCCTGCTGTTGTTGTCTTAGGGTGATAACTAACATTTAAACAAACCTTCAGATTGTTGGGCACTTGACTACCTCATTCACTCAGATGCTTGCCTAAATGGCTCAGCAAACACTGGTGACTCAGACCAAGTGAGTTTGCTTATGACTTCAGTGATGTAGAAAGAAGACTTTGAGTCATTGAAAGTACTGATATCCTCAAGTGTCCAGGAAAAATCTGCCATCAGAGCAATGAAATGGGAATATCTTATTATTCATTCATTTGACAAATTTTTACCAAGTACCTATTATGTGCTAAGGACAAGGCTTACAATCACCAAAAAAAAAAAAAAAAAAATTCAGGGGCACCTGGGTGACTCAGTCGTTAAGTGTCTGCCTTCGGCTCAGGTCATGATCCCAGGGTCCTGGGATCGAGCCCCGCGTCGGGCTCCCTGCTCCGCGGGAGGCCTGCTTCTCCCTCTCCCATTCCCCCTGCTTGTGTTCCCTCTCTCGCTGTGTCTCTCTCTGTCAAATAAATAAGTAAAATCTTTAAAATATAAATAAATAAAATTAACTTAAAAAAAATTCAGTCCCTCCTTCATGCAGTTTAGAGTCTAGTGAAAATAGGAAACAAAAATAGAACCGAATACATTTTAATTACAGATCATAAAAAACCCTGTGGAAAAACCCACTGAATGCTGATAGAGAGTTTCAGGAAAGACTGTCTTCAGAGTGGGTAGGCAAGGAGGGTCTCTGACAAATGACATTGAAGATAAGATCTGAAAGATGAAAAGGAGGCACTCATGAGAAAAGACAGGTGATGCACGTTCTAGCAGAGGATTTATAGCAGGTGTTAGGAAAAGACCCCGGCTTGGTCCAAGCAGTGAAAGGGTAGAGTGGTTAGAGCTTAGACCCTAAGGCAGAGAATGGTGAGAGGTGACAGTGAAGAGGTAAAAGAACACTTTCATGTCCTCTCAAGGGTCAACCAATTTTCAAAAAGGTGCCAAGATAATGCAAGGGGGAAGAAATCTTTTTAAATAGTACTGGATCATCTAGGTAGATGGGAAAACTTAATCTCAACCCTCATCTCACACCTTGTATCAAAGTAAACTTAAAATGGATCACAAACCTAAAATTTAAAGCTGAACTGTAAAATTTCTAAAAGAAAACAGGAGAAAATCTTTGAGACTTCCGGGTAGGTGAAGATTTCTTAGGACACCAAAGGCATCAATCTTAAAAGTAAAAGATTGATAAAGAAGACTTAACCAAAATATAAACTTCTGCTCTTCAAAATATATCATCCAGAAAATAAAACTGCAAGCCACAGCATGAGAAAAAATATTGCCAAGACATATATCCAACAAAGGTTTAGTATCCAGAATACACAAGAATACTGTTGTATACTCTTACAACACAGTGATAAGAAGACAAAAAATAATAATCTAAAATGAGCAAAATATTTGAACAGACACATCATAACACAAGATATATGAAAGGATAATAAGCAAATTAAAAGATTCTCAGTATCATCAATAATTAAGAAAATGAAGAGTAAACCACACACTCACTGCAAGGCCTAAAATTAAATATTGACAATACCAATTACTGGATGTTAAACTCTTATACTTCTGATGAGAATATAAAAACGCACAACCACTTGGGAGTGCCGGGCTGGTCAGTCAGGGGAGCATAAGACTCTTCATCCCAGGGTCATGAGTTTGAGCCCCCCAGCAGGGGTAGAGTTTACTTAAAAATAAACTAATTAATTAATTAATTAATTAATTAATAACTTCCCAAAAAATCATACAACCACTTTGGAAAACAGCTTTGTAGTTTCTCACAAGTTAAACATACACTTACCATGTGATCCAATAATTCTACTCCTGGGTATTTACCCAGGAGAAATGAAGACATGTGGCCAAAATAACCTATACATAAACATTTATATCTACTTTATTCACAACTGTCAAAAACTGAAAATACCCAAATGCCCATCAATAAATAACTGAATCAACTATTGTGGTATACCCATACCATAAGATATTATTCAACAATAGGAAGAAACAAACTGCCACTACCCACAAAAAAACATAGGTTAATCTCAGAAACAGCTTGCAGAGCTAAAGAAGTCAGGTACCGAAAAGTTCATACCATATGATTCGATTTATATGAAGCTCTAGGAAAGACAAAACTAATTCATAGTGACAAAAATCAGATCCTTGGATGCTTGGGTGGAGATAGAGGGATTGGCTGGGAAGGGACTGAAGAAACTTTCTGGGGTGATGGAAATGTCATTGACTAGAGACATGGTTATGTGGGTGTATATATACCTTTGTCAAAATTTCTCAGACTGCCCAATTAAAATGCGTGCATTTTATGTAATTAAATTTTACCTCAGTAAAGTTTATTTTAAAGTAAGTTCTTAGGGCATCTGGGTGGCTCAGTCAGTTAAGCGTCTGCCTTCCACTCAGGTGATGAACCCAGAGTGTTGGGTTTGAGCCGCGCATCAGGCTCTCTGCTCAGTGGGAGCCTGCTTCTCCCTCTCCCTCTGCCTGCCGCTCCCCCAGTTGGTGCTCTCTCTCTCTCTCCCTCTCTCTCTGTCAAATAAGTAAATAAAATATTTTTAAAAAATAAAATAAGATAATTTCTTTATACATTTCCACCTTGATTTTATCAAAGTATTATGACAAATACAAAATAGATCCAGGAATAAGGAAAGGATCATGTTCAAGGTAACAATTTAATTCGCTATAAATCAATGGTGGCTTAAATAAACACCTTGAAACTATATTTGAAAGCAAGATTAAAACCACTATAATTTAATAGAACATAAGTGTTATATATAGCTTCCCAGAGGCAATAACCCACAGAATCCATAAATCAAGAAAATATGATCTCTCACAATTGTACCTGTTCCTGAAACTGAGTCCATGCCCCAAATTATGTTCTTTACTAGGGAAACCAGAAGATTTCTTTAAACTTTTCCAGATTCTTTTTCTTTTATGTTCCACCATGATCGTTTCCTTTATATAAGTAATAGTTAATAAGTCCTTTCCTTTATAAAGAAGTCTGCCCTGCTCTGGGCCATTTTATCTACTGATTTTGTTTTTTACTTCTGCTGTCTCATTAAAGATATGGCCATAATTATATTTGTGATTCCAAATCCATCATGTACCTGACTTCATGAAAAAAATCTGTTTCTGTCTGAGATGCTTGGTGGCACTTTTTACCTCCTCATTCCTCAAGGTGTAAATGAGGGGATTTAGCAAAGGGGTGACCACCGTGTAGAAGACAGATACCACCTTGTCCATGGAGAAGCTGGTGTCTGGCCGAGTGTAGAGGAAGATACACGGTCCAAAGAAGAAGGCAAGCACCATGAAGTGGGCTGAGCAGGTAGACAGGGCTTTCCGGCGCCCTTCGGCTGACTGTCTTCTAAGAGAAACCAGGATGACTGTGTAAGAGGTGACCAAAACCAGGAAACAGGTAAGGGAGATGGTTCCACTATTAGACACAATGAGCATTCCCGTGAGGTATGTATCTGTGCAGGCCAGCTTGATGACAGGGGGCACATCACAGAAGTAGCTGTCAATAATGTTGGGGCCGCAGTAAGGTAGATGAATGGTCAGGAAGGTCTGCACCAGAGAGTGAACAGTACCCCCCAACCAGAGAGCAAAGACGAGCTGCACACAGACCCTGATGTTCATCACATTGGGATAATGCAGTGGAGCACAAATGGCCACACACCGATCATAAGCCATGACGGTCAGCAGAAAGATCTCAGCACAAGCAAACAGATGTAGAAAGAAGAGCTGTGCGATGCAATTATCAAAGGAAATCGTCTTTCTCTCCAAAAGCAAGCCCTCTAGCATCTTGGGCACAGTGACAGATGAGTGGCAGATGTCAATAAAGGACAGATTGCTCAGGAAGAAGTACATGGGGGTATGGAGACGCAGAGTAAAAACTATAGTAACGATGATGAGACTGTTCCCCAAAAGGGTTAGCACATATGTGACGAAGAATGCCACAGACAATAGTATTTCCAGCACCCAGTTCTCAGTGAGTCCCAAGAAGACGAATTCAGTCACTCTTGTTTGATTTAGAGCATCCATCTAATGAGTTTCCAAAGGACCTTTTTGGGGGGGTGAGGGGGACCATGAAAGCTAATTTAGCTTTAATATCACAGGACTAGAACTCATTGAAGTGACTCTACATTCCATTTTGAATTGCTTACTTATTATTAGGGCATATAAAATAGAAGACCAACCTAATAGCTATTGTTACAATATACCCATTATGTATCAGGAGCCGTTCCCAGCACTTTTTATACACCCTTCTATTAACCACAACTGCACCATGGCATAGGCATTATTGTTCCTGGCTTGCAGATGAGATACATGAATCTCACAAGAATAAATACGTTGCCAAAACTCTTAGCCACTAGTTGGCTGGCTTTTCTCATTTCAGTCTAACCCACAGATAACACCAAATTAATCTTCCAAAATACAACTCCCAACTAAAATCATTCACTATATCACTCTTCCTATCAAATTAAATGTACATCCAAAGCCTGCAACAGACTAATACCTGTTTATTTTTCCAGTCTGGAATCCTCCTTTTTCATACGTATTCTTCTTTCCAGGCAAGCAGGTTACT